CGATCTCAAACTGTCCCTTTCATCCCTGTGACTTACCTTTATTACACGTAGAAGTTTGTGCCTCTTCGTCCCTTACCCGGGTCCCCCGTCCCTCCACCCCCAGGCCCCCCTGGCAACCACCGGTTTGTTCCTGCACTTATGAGTCTGTTTCTGCCTTTATTCATTTGTTCCTTTTGTTTTTTAGATTCCGCAGAGACGTGAAATCATACGGGATTTGTTCTTCTCTAACTTAACTTCCCTGGGCAAAAATACACTCTAAGTCCCCCCGCGTTGACACAGACGGCGGGATATCAGTCTTTCCTGTAGCTGAGTGTAGTCTACTGTGCATACAGGCACCGCATCGTATCCATGCCTCACCCCATCGGCACTTCGGTTGCTTCCATATCTCGTAGTACAGATTTACTTAAAGAAATTTTAATGTGATGTGGCTTTATCGTACGCTCAGGCAAATGGCATTTGCCAGTTTATAGTATGCAGCACTGTTTTGTTTTTACGTATTTCCTTCTAGCCTTAAATGCATGAATGTCCACTTCTGTTCCTGCTTTTCCACTTAACATGCACCTCATGTGTGTTTTCCATGTATATTACAAGCAATATATAAGCTTTTTTAAAAGACTTATTTATTTATTTCAGAGGGAGAGAGTGCATGTGGATGAGCGAATGCAAGAGCAGATGGAGAGAGAGAGAGAATCCTAAAACAGGCTTCCCACTGAGCAGGGAGCCCAATGTGGGCCTCGATCCCAGGACGCTGAGATCATGACCTGAGCTGAAATCAAGAGTCGGACGCTTAACCAACTGAGTCCCCCCAGGGAACACCAGTAATATATAATCTTGATAATATATAATCTGATGTTCTTGACTAGAGTTCCAAGTGTTTAAACGGTGATTTATTTAAATAGTCATTGTCTTTTATTAACCTCATAGATTGCTTTACAGTTTTCTCTGTTAATATACATAGCATTGCCTCTTTAGAAAAAAAGAATTCTTAGTATAGACCAGAAATGGAAATTATGTCTTTTTTTAAGATTTTGTTTATTTGAGAGAGGGAGGGAGAGAGAGGGAGAGGGAGCGGGGGGAGGGGCAGAGGCAGAGGGAGAAGCAGACTCCATGCTGAGCAGAGAGCCCAATGCTGGCTCGATCCCAGGACCCCGAGATCATGACCTGAGCTGAAGGCAGAGGCTTAACTGACTGAGCCATCCAGGCGCCCTGTCTTTTTAAATTTTTAAATAGTGGGAGCTGCTAGGGGGAATTGGAGTAACCATGTTTGTTATAAACCTGCTAAGAATGGGGAATGGGGTTGGGATACAGACGATGAGAGCAAGATCAAAACAAACCCTAACTTAACCAAGGCAATGGAAACCTTATACACTGAAAACTATAAAACATTGCTGGAAAAAATTAAGGAAGTGACCCATAAATGAAAAGACATCTGGTGTTTACAGATTGGGAAGTTAAATATCTGATGCTATCGATATCACCAAAAATAATCTATACATTCAATGCAAGCCCTTTCGAAATCTCGATGGTGTTTTTTTGTAGAAATAGAAAAATCCAACCTAGGGGCACCTGGGTGGCTCAGTTGGCTAAGCGTATGCCTTCGGTTCAGATCATGATCTCAGGGTTCTGGGATCGAGCCCCGTGTTGGACTTCCCACAGAGCAGGGAGTGTTTCTCCCCCACCCTCTGCCCTTTCCATCCACTTGTTTTCTCGCTCTCTCTCTCCCAAATAAATAAAATCTTAAAAAGAAAAGAAAAGAAAAGAAAAATTCAACCTAAAATTCCCATGAAGTCCGAAGGGACTTTGCATAGCCAAAACAACCTTGAAAAAGAAAAAGTTGGAAGGCTCACACTTCCTGATTTTGAAACTCATCCCAGAGCTACAGTGACCAGGTGGCACTGGCCTAACAACAGATTCCATACATGTCCACAGAGTATACTAAAGAGCCCAAAAAGAAACCCTTGCGTGTGTGGTCAGATGATCTTCCACATGAGTGCCAAAACTGTCCAATGGGGAAAGGCCGGTCTCTTCACAAATGGTGTGGGCAAAAATGGACATCCACATCAAAAGAATGTGGTTAGGCTCTCCCTAACACCACACACAAAAACTAACTCAAAAACTAAGGTCGAGGACCTTCATGTAAGTCCCCAAACTGTGAAACTCCTAACCAGAAACTTCCTAATACTAGATTTGGTAATTTCTTGAACAAGACACCGAAAGCAAAAACAGCAGCAACAACAACAACAAAACTACGTAAATGAGACCATATCAGACTGTGTCGTAGGACACAGTTAGCAGCTGAGAAAGCGATCTATCCCATCAGGGAGTATATTTGCAAACAAAACATCTGATAAGAAACTCATATCCAGAATATTTGAAGAACCCTTACAACTCAGCAAAACAACAAAACCAGACTATAAACTGTGCAAAGAACTGGAACAGGCATTTCTCTGAAGTGTATACACAGATGGCCAACAAGCCCAGGAGACGCTCAACATTGCTAAGAATTAGAGAAATGCAAATCAAACCATGGCGAGATACCCACTAGGATGGCCACTATGTAAAAATTTAAAAAGTAAAACAAAACGTGTTGGTGAGGACGTGGAGAAATTGGCATCTTGTACACCATTATTAGGAATATAAAATGGGGCAGCTACTGTGGGAAACTGTGTGGTGTTTCCTTAAAAACTTAAAAATAAAATTGCTATAGGGTCCAGCAATCTCTATTTCTGGGTATGTACCCCGAATCACTGAAAACAGGGCCCTGAAGAGATGTACCTATGTACATATGTACAGATGTGTACAGCTGTGTTCATAGCAGCATTATTCACGTTAGTCCAGAGCCGGAAATAACCCAGGTGTTCATCAACAAATAAACGGGTAAACAAAATGTGGAATACACATATAATAGGATATTATTCCACCTGAAAAAAGAATGAAATCCTGAGGATTATATATTCAGTGAAATAAGCTGGTGATAAAAAGACAAATAGTGTATGTTACACTTGGGTGAAGTTCTTTTCTTTCTTTCTAAGATTTTATTTATCTATTTGAGAGAGAGTGAATGAGAGAGAGAGAGAGAGCATGAGCAGAGGGAGAAGGAGAAGCAGACTCCTCACTGAGCAGAGAGCCCGAAGTGGGACTCTATCCTAGTACCCCGGGATCATGACCTGAACCGAAGGCAGACGCTTAACCAGCTGAGCCACCCAGGCATCCCTTGGGTGAAGTTTCTAAAGTAGTCGAATTCATAGAAACAAAGATGGTGGTGTGTCCAAGAGCTGGGGGTGGGGGAAGGGGACTCGATATTAATAGGGACAGGGTTTCAGTTTTGTAAGACAAGAAGGTCTTAAGGTCTGTTGCACAGCAATGTGAATATCTTAACGCTCCTGAACTGTTCCCTTAAATGTAAATTTTTTAAATGTAAATTTTTAAATTTGGGAAAGATAGTAAATTTTATGTCATGCATTTTTTTTTTTTTTTACCATAATCCAAAAGAAAATGAAAACGGACAGGACATAAAATTCAGTCTCCAAAATCAGGTGAGCTACTCAACCGTGAGACTTGGTCAGTGAAACGAAGGTCCACTTTAATGAGCTGGTGCGCTTGCTTAATGCCCAGGTAGGCATGCGTACACGTCTCAAGTCCTGGGAACTGTGCAGAACCTGTCTTCTGATCTCCCGGATTTGGGAGCCAGTGGGGTAAGAGTGACCTGGAAGAATAAAGCCAAACCGTTCACAGTACGTGTGTCCCCAGGCCCGCTGGACGGGGCCACCCAGGAGCTGTCAGGAGGCAAAGACTGGTGGAGGAGGGTCATGGTGAAGCCCCTTCTGACAGCCACAGCATGATGGGTATCCCGGGACTAGGGGAGGGGACTTTGCGTTGCACTATTGAGGCCTCTGGGCTTTCCAGAGAGGAGAAACAGGAACGGGGGAGAAGTGTGGAGCTGGTGGAATCTGGGAGTGGGAGTGGGTCTTCTGTAGGACCCTGCCCACCTCGAACACTCTTTCTGCAAATGACCAATGGCGCTTGGAGCCTTAACTTGCCCTTAGCAGCCCGAGGCCACTACAACTACAGTGTATTCCAAAGAGCGACAGAAGCCTGGTGGACGTCGGGATGTAAGTCCACAGAGAGCAGCTGGTGTGTCATCTGGGAAGCTTTCTTCAACCTGCCAGACTCCCGCCCTGGCACCCCTGACCTCCGTATGAACAAAAGGACCTGCACGCCCGTGACCCTGACCATGGAGTAGGGGGCACTGTCCTTACCCCACTCCCCCAAATCAAGCCCTGAAGTGAAGGAGGAGACAAGAGGTGGAAGGCTGTGCTGGGCTGTGCAAACCACCGGGGCAGCAGGACTGTCCCCGAAAAAGCAAGGAACCTTGCGACCTTGGCCCAGGGGAGTTGACCTCCAACTTGGACCCTGCTAGGACTCACTTTGACGTTTAAGAGGCTCAGGCCATGCTCATTTATCTTTGTAGCCATTTCCCCCTATGAGACACTAAACTGGCCGCAGAGGCTGCCAAAGAACGGTTAAGGGACACAGTGTCCCTGGGGCCTGGGGGCTCCACAGTTAAGCATCTTCCTTCAGCTCAGGTCTTGATCCCAGGCCCCTGGGGGGAGGGGAGTCCTGCTCAGCCGGGAGCCTGCTTCTCCCTCTCCCTCTGCCGCTCCCCCTGCTTGTGCTCTCTCTCTCAGGTAAATAGAGTCTTTGAAAAGAAGAAGGGCAGGGGTGGGTGGCGGACACAGCGTCCTCTGCGGGGAACAAACCCTACTCATCACTCCTGGCCCCCTGTGAGCCTGCAGAGGGCCGGACGGAGGGAGCGTCCCTCCCTGGCTGCCAGCAGGAGCTCTTGGGTGCCGCCCTGCGCACCTGCCTGGCCCGCACCTGCCCGAGCTGCAGGCACCTGCCCGGCCAGCACCCGCCCGGCCCGCACCCGGGGCCCAAGCTTCCGTCAGCCCGCCCTTTGCTCTCCTTCCTCGTCGCCGCTTCGAGGGTGCATCTCTGTCTCCGCGGGGCTCCTGCGAGGCTCGCTCGGGTTGCCAGAGAGCTGCACCTGGAAGATGCGCCTGGGGACGGCGGGTGAGTGCGACCTCCCTGCCGGAGGAGGGAGAGGGGACTCGGGCAGGGGAGAGCTGTCCCCTCGCCCTACTTGGGGAACCCTCCCCTCCCCGCCCCTGCGCGGGCTGCGGGCCGAGGGCGGGGCAGGCGCTGGGGCTGGGTCCTGCCCTGGCCCTGGGATCAGAAAGCAGCTCGGGCAGGGGCCAAGTCGCCGGTTCCCATGTGGATAGTCCGACACCCTCTCCCGCTCCTTGAGTCTGATGCCCTGCCTGACAAGTAGGCAGCAGGGGAGGGCAGGCAGAGAGGAGGGGGCTCCCTCCACGGGGGAGGGCACGTGCCGCCGCAGACAAAGGGCGGCCCGCTGCGGAGTAGGGGCACTTCTGGGCTCCTCCACTCCACCGTGCTGCTCTGGCGAGGGTCGAGGGTCACTAGCCACAGGTCCCGCTGACCAGCCCAGGAAGTCATGACAAGTGAGGGACAGTGAGGCAGCCTGCTTAAGTCGGGTGGGGATGGATGAATGCGGAATGCCCCATGGACACTGGCTATAAAACTTCTGCTAGCATCTCTCTATAAGGCCATTTTTATATTTTCCAAATATTAAATTACTTGAGACTGCAGAAGGCTTGGGAAAAAATAGGAAAAAGGGAAGAGGAAACAAAAGTCATCCCACGAGGCATGTTGTCTCTCAAAGCCTGCCTTCCTGACAGCAGCCTCTGTCAGCCGGTCACTTGCCTGCCTGCCTTGCCTTATAGGGCTCGCTCTGGGGTTCCCAGCTAACCCGCCCGCCTTTGTTCTCCCTGACTGGGTTTGCTCTTTTCTTCTGGAGCAAGGCAGCATACCTTGTGCAAAAATGGGAAGTTCAGAAATGGAAACTTCTCTGGGCTCCTTTAGCGGCCAGTCCCCCTCCCTGGAGGGCAGCTTGTCTGCCAGGAGGTGGTGGACTAAACCATCCTCTTTCCTTGGGGCACACATTCCAGCTGTGTGGTCACACTCCAGAAAGTTCTAAACACCACCTTTGCGGCATTCCCAAAGTTTGGCAAGACAGATTTCAAGACTTTTCTTTATTGTGTGAAATAGTCCTGTTCTCTACAAAACTGCTTGTTTCTGAATAGCCATGTTTTTGGTAACTTGTGTGGATGGTATAAATGGGTGGCAACGTATGTTTCTTTTTGGGGGAGAAAACATCTCCCTTGGAGCATTACTTTTTTTTTTAATCATTTTTTTAATTTATTTTCAGCGTAACAGTATTCATTGTTTTTGCACCACACCCAGTGCTCCATGCAATCCATGCCCTCTCTAATACCCACCACCTGGTTCCCCCAACCTCCCACCTCCTGCCTCTTCAAACCCCTCAGATTGTTTTTCAGAGTCCATAGTCTCTCATGGTTCACCTCCCCTTCCAATTTCCCCCAACTGCCTTCTCCTAACTCCCCATGCCCTCCATGCTATTTGTTATGCTCCACAAATAAGTGAAACCATATGAAACTTGACTCTCTCTGCTTGACTTATTTCACTCAGCATAATCTCCTCCAGTCCCGTCCATGTTGATACAAAAGTTGGGTATTCATCCTTTCTGATGGAGGCATCATACTCCATAGTGTATATGGACCACATCTTCCTTATCCATTCGTCCGTTGAAGGGCATCTTGGCTCTTTCCACTGTTTGGCAACCATGGCCATTGCTGCTATGAACATTGGGGTACAGATGGCCCTTCTTTTCACTACATCTGTATCTTTGGGGTAAATACCCACTAGTGCAATGGCTGGGGCATTACTTTTATTTGATCTTAGCCAAAAGTCCGAGAAGCGATAGGGCATTACTATCATGTTAAGTATTTTGGAAGATTTTTTTTTTCATTATTTCTAGATTCTTATAACATTTTGCTGGCTACTTGGTGGAAAATGCTGAGTATTCTTAGACTACTTTCCCCTACCGACCCCTTTTCCACACGTGACCCTTGCGAGTTATTCGTGGCCCATGTGGTCCTTTTGCATAAAGCTTTAGCATAACTCGGATCTGTATTTATATGGACATGTGTGGTTAAGAGAGAGTCGCCCGCAGAATCTCAGCTACTTTGGACTTCGTGAGCTCGGGATTTGGCAACATTTTCGGAAGCGCCATTTTCCTGGATACTTGGGTCAAGCCCTGGGTCTGTCCCAGGTAGAAAGATCACAGGGGGGACATTCCGATGGAACGAAGGGATGAAGTAAGTTAAGCCGCCACTGCTCTTCCCCTGTCCTAGGGCAGCTGCCTAGTAGCGGTTATCCGAAGTGCTCAAAAGCAGGTCATTGGTGTGTGAAACTTTCAAGGCAGGTTCCCTTCCAAACCTCCTGTGGTGTTCAGACGTGTCTGTTCCTGGCCTTTCTACCAAAAAGCCTCAGTCAATAGGACAGGGACAGGAGCCACAAAGTGGCTCACCCACCCTCAGCCCTCTCTCATCCCCCCTCCCCAAGACAAAAGGAGCAGGTGTGGCCATCTCCAGGGGGATTTGGGTTCCCTTTGGCAAGGCTTCTAGTGACAGCTTCCTCGTCGTACATCATGTTGAAGGAGATGGCACCAAAGTGTTTTCTTAGGGGTTCGGAGTTGCCTTCTTCAGGGTCCCGGGGGTAGAGGGGCAGGAGGGTGCCCTGAGATCCCCTGACCTGTAGCCTGGCCGAATGCAAATTGGTTTTGGGACTGCTGTCTTCTCCAGTGTAAGTGAAGGGTCTGGGACCAAACTGAGACCCCAGGAGTCTGAGCGTGGGGAGGAGGGTAGGAGACACACACAGGGGCACACATGCAGGATGAGTGAGGGTCTCTGGAGAGGAATTGAACTGACTCCCTGCCCGTGCTTGGAACTGGCCTTTGCTCTGACCCTTCCATGTGACACCTGCTGGTTAGAAGCCCGGAGGAGGACATGTCTGTTGGCCACTGCGGATAACTTTATTACTTTACGAGAAAAGGCCAGATCCTGGTTACAGGATCACAGAATGTTCCTGAACTCAGCATACTTCCTCCCCGTCCTTACCTCCCTGCCCCCCACCCCGGAAGTCCCACACAGGTCCAGGGAGCCATGTTAGCTGGGGTCTGGTTCCCACTGTTCCCAAATGAGTGCTTACCTGTGCCCCTCTGGGACGCAGGGTTCTTTGCTGCCCAGGGTCCGAGCCTGTCGCAGGAAACTGCTTCAGGTCCGCCTGGTGTGCACTCACCCTGGGGACTGAAGCAGGTGTCCCTCCCCGAGACTGGCTGGCCCCAGCTGGTCTGGCTCCCAGGTCTGTCCCCTTTCAGCTTCCTCCTGGAGCTCCAGGGCAGGGCGGAAAGCACCAGTCCTGTGGGCATGCAGCCAGCCCCTCCCTTAAAGCTGCCTAAGGGCCTGAGGACAGCCCTCCAGCGCTGTCCCCGCAGAAGCAGACTCAGATGTGGCTGATAGGAGCCGTTAACAGCAGGTGTCCTAACAGATTGGAGACACCAAGGGCGTTAGGCTTCTGTGCCCGGACCGGGACAAAGCTGCGCTACAGCCTTTATTACATCCCCTGCGATGAGTCCACACGTTGTCTGGAGCACGGGGCAGGAGGTTTTGCTCCTGGCCAGCAAGAGGGAAGACTTATGATGGTGATGGCCTGGGGAGGGGGAGGCAGTAGAGACAAGAAGAGTCTATGGAGGCAAGATTGATGGTGTTGGTAAACTCTGCGAGGCCGGCTGATGGGTTCCATCAGGGCTGGGAGGGGAAGTGCGAAATAAAGGAAGAATCCCGGGTATTGGCCTCTGACCCCATCCATCTGCTGAGATGGGCCATACGGGGTCAGGAGCAACTCTGGGGAGCTGGAGGCGATGAAGGGGTTTCCTCTGGGACATCTCAGAGTGCAGAGAGCAGGCTGGCAATACGCCCCCCCCCCCATGGGGAACTCAGAGCTGAGTGTGGGCAAGCTCATCTTGGGATCCGGAGGAGAGGCCAGGCTGTGCCCTGGGATGGAAAGCCAGCGGAGAAGGCCAGGACATGCGCACAGAGTGGGAGCCCCGTGGAGTGTCATCGAGGGAGGACCGGGGTGCCTGTCATCAGGGGACGGGGCACGGGCCGCATGGAGGATTTGGAGGCCTTGGCCCGCACAGGAGTGGGAGGGGAGGTCTGGTGGCTGTGGGAGGGGGGTTATTTCCAGGTGCTTGGCCCGAGTGTGACAGCCAAGGGGGTTGTGGGGTCAGGTGGGAGGGCCTTCCCCTCCCCACCGCTCCCCTCCCTTCCTTTCCTCCCTCTCCTTTCTCCTCTCCTCCCTCCCTCCTTTCCTTCCTTGTTCTGCCTTGTAGCCCTTTTGGTGATCACGAACGAGTCCTGCTCTGTGAGATATTTAGGGGTAAAACCGGAAAGGTCTAGCAGCAGTTTGCCCGTGAAGGGACAGGGAGCTGTCCCCTCGGCCTCCCCTGACCTCGGAGTGGGGAACGCCTTTTCCTTAAACACTGGGAGGAAGATAGCAGAGCCAGTCAGCCAGAAGGAGCGCCTCCAGGGATTTGCCGCTGTGCACAGCTTGGGTTTCCCTGCAGGCGGGTCTGTGGTGGTCATGACGGGTCCGGTGGCTTTTCCCAGGGTCACGAGGACCCTTGGCAGGTTCACAGGGCGCCAGGTGCTGTTCTCAGCATTAACAAAACAGTCCCTGCCCTCTGGACTTTGCCGTCCATTCCAAAAGCCTCCTCACAAAGGAATGAGCCACTTTGGTCTTTAGGCCCATGTCAGGCGTGTTGGGTCACGAGGCACTAATGAATCACCAATGTCACCGTCTGAGGAAGCTCTAAACAGCAAACAGAAAAACTTGGCGCAGAAAACACCCATGTCTTGTTTCTGTTACCGGTCACGGTAACCTCAAATGCTTCGTCCAAGCAACACCAACTAAGCAGTGGTGGCTTCATTACACCCCCACCCGCCACTTCCCCGGGGGCAAACTTCTCAGGGTGCGGGGCAGACGCTGGTGCAGGAAATGGGCTTAGGATGGCACCTGTCCCCCAGGCATCACAGTGGCGACTTGTCTGTCCCCAGGCACTTTGAGGACCGTGGTCTTCTTCTTCGCCTCCATATGTGCATGGTACTCCGGGTACCTGCTCGCAGAGCTCATTCCAGAAGTCTCCTTGACCAGTGCTGTCTATAACCTCAGGAGCCTCTCGGAGAAGCCCCTCCTGAAGGGTGAGTACCGAGCCCCGCCGCGGTCGCGGCAGTGAGGAGCGGGGTCTGGCCTCAGCTCTGCCCCAGCTGGTCGTTCTGTGTTGATGTTGGTGACGAGGATGATGACGGTCACGAGAAAGTGAGGAGGGGAAGGAGGAGGGGCGGGAGGAGGGAGGAGGAGAGGGTGGGGGGGGAATACCTGCCCCTTCGGTTCCCACCCCTTTCCAAGGTAGACACACCTGCTCATCCCTGTGTGAGACCCCCAAGGCAAATTATGATGATAAAAAAGCAAAGAAACCCCATTTCCAAGATGCATTAAATAAAAATTAGCACTGGGAGTACAACTGCATTAGCGAGTGATGTGAAATCACGAAGTCTTCATTAGACTCTCCATTGGAAAACGGGCAGGACGCTCAAGGGGTTATCAGTCCCCTTTTTGGGAATCTCATTGGAAATAGGTATATTTTTAACACAGAAATAAATTGTAGAAAATTAATTTGCACAAATATGAAGAATTGGGTGATGATTTAAAAAATTTGTAAAAGTTGGGGGCGGGGGAGGGTGGCGCCTGGCTGGCTCAGGTGGTGGAGCATATGACTGCTGGTCTGGAGTTGAGAGTTCGAGCCCCACGTTGGGTGTAGAGATTGCTTAAAGAGAAAATGTTAAAAAATAACAAACTCTTTTTGAAAAATGTATAAAAGTGATTCCTTTTCAGATTAATTACCTTTTATGACCCCACCCCCAAAACCCAACAGTTTCTAGAAATCAACTGTGACCAACTGTTTTATTCTTTAATTTTTTAAAAAAGAATTTATTTATTTAGAGAGAGCGCAGAGGGAGGAGAAGAGGGAGAGGGAGAGAGAGAGAATGTCGAGCAGACTCAGCACTGAGTGTGGAGCCTGACGTGGGGCTCGATCTCAGGGTCCTGAGACCTTGACCTAAGCCAAAACCAAGAGTTGGACACTGAACCAGCTGTTCTACCCAAGGGCCCCTTGGTGTTTATATATTTTTAAAAAGATTTTATTTATTTATTTATTTATTTGACAGAGATCACAAGGAGGCAGAGAGGCAGGCAGAGAGAGAGGAGGAAGCAGACTCCCTGCTGAACAGAGAGCCCGATGAGGGACTTGATCCCAGGACCCTGGGATCATGACCTGAGCCAACGGCAGAGGCTTTAACCCACTGAGCCACCCAGGCGCCCTGGTGTTTGTATTTGTAATAAAGTTTCCGCAGTGCACGTGCTTGCCGTTGGGCAGACCAGGGAGGAGGCCCAGCACTGAGGCGGAGCCCTGCACGTGAGGGTGTGGGGGACACCCTCAAGTCTTTCTCATTTTCTCTGTTGTCACATGAAACGCAAAGTCTGCCCAGGACATGGGTTTGCTCCTAGGAGCTGCCTCTGATGCCAGCCCTTTCAGAAGGGCCCATTCACGAGTTTCCCACTCCTACCAGTGCAGGCCAGGGAGGCCCTGTCACCTTCCCCGGGACTACAGCACTGTCCGGTTATTGGAAACCCAAAGGCGGCAGGAGCACAGTAGAGGGGTGGCTGCAGCTGGTGTGAGGGCTGCATCCTGGCTCTGGCTGGCTGGGGCTCCACTTCGGAGGGACGCAGCTTTCCTGGGCATCTGGTGGGCTCAGAGTTTGGGGGTTGAGCCTAGTGATTGATAGAGGGTCTGGGGCTCATGTGGCTAAGAGAGTAGAAGGCACTGCGCCAGCTTTGGGGCTCTGGGGGCTTTGTAGCAGGGCTCACTCCGTGCCATTGTCAGGACCCCAGGGAATGGCCTCAGAGAAAGCACAAGTGCCCTTTGGTTTGGTCAGATGCTGCCTCAGCAGGTGCCTTGCCCCTCTGGACACCTGCATTCTTCCATGCCTGCGGAGTACCCAGGGAGGTGGTGATCCCTGGCTTTGGACAGGGTTCAAGGATGAGTGTAGCTCCTGCCATCAGTGCGGGAACCTCTGTTGCGCTTGGCTCAGCACAATGACTCTGACACCCTCCTGGGAATGTCTGTTCTAAACGTCCTCAGTGACCCCTCATGTCTGGTCCAACATGAAGCAAAGAGAGGGGCATGTTGACGTGTGAGATCAGTGTTGGGCATGGAGAGAAAGGGGCGGAGGAGCCAGAGGCACATGCCGAGCACCTCCCCCCGTGGCCAAGGCTGTCCGGACTGAGCCCACTTGTCCTTGGCCCTGACGCACACACCCCTCCCCTGGATCCTGGGCTTTCACCTAATCCATAGGTTGCTTTTCCACTTCATAAACTATTCTTTAAAAAAAAAAAAAAAAAAAGGTTTTATTTATTTGCCAGAGAGTGATCGAGAGATTGAGCACAAGCCTGGCGGGGAGGCAGGGGAGACAGAAGCAGGAGAAGCAGGCTCCCCACTGAGCACGGAACCCAATGCAGTACTTGATCCCAGGACCCCAGGATCGTGACCTGAGCTGAAGGCAGATGGTCACCAGCTGAGCCACCCAGGCGCCCTTAAACTATTCCCGTAAAGGGACCCAACTCCCTGTGTGGCCTCAGAGGCCCTGCGATTCTGTCTTGGGTTTTCTGAAGTTAATTCTTACCCTGCGAGTCCGTGCTCCCCAGCGTTCATACCATCCTCATGTCGCATGGCCCCCGCCCCCGCCCCGCTGTCTTTACGAGATTGTAAATCTGAGCCCATCCCAAGTGCCCCTGAATCTCCCTGGTTTTCTAGACCTGGCCCCTCTCTTCCTACTCCAGAGCCTGGGCCATTGTTAGGAGTTGGCGCACTGACCGCTCTGGGTCACTCCATTCTTCATACTGAGCGAGAGGGCTTGCTACCAGTCTGGCCCCTTCATGAAAGAGGCCCGCTGTCCGGGAAAGGGAACGCCGTGGCTCCCTCTCTCCCCGCGGGCCTCAGTGTCCCTCCACCCATCCTCCCCACCGGCATGGACGAGGGCTGCTCTGGTTTTATTGTCTCCTTCCCCTTCTCCCCATTTTCCACACCAGTCCCCCCCAACCCCTCTGGGGTGTTTAAGGACATCTTTCTGTCTGAATACCTCGTCGCAGAACCAGCTGTCCTATCTTGCGGATGTGTAGTTGTTACCAAAATGTGCAGACCTTTCGGCCGGGGGGCCGTTGGGGCAGGCTGCAACTGTGCGTACCGGACCTTTGTCCCCGTGCCCCGCCCCCTTCTGCAGATCTTGCATTTGTGTCTTGCCTGTTTTCTGCGGGGTGGTTCTGTTCTTGTTGATGTGCAGGGAGTTTTATATACATTGGAGGCTGTCAGTGCTTGTTCCCCACATGGCAGATATCACAGTCAGTGATGGTCTATCCTAGCTTGCTTTCTGTCTCTCGCACCCAAGATGAGAGCTCTTCTGTCCACTGCGGTCCCTGTGGCGGTGAGGACGGCATGCAGTGTTGACAAGTATTTTGTCAGTAAGTGTCTGTGCAGGGAGAATTTGTGCATCCATGGACGAGTAAGTCTGGTGGGAAGCCACATACACCACCCCCACACACACGGCTTAGAAACCAGCCCCCAACGATCGGTTTCAGGAGAGAGTAAGTAGAAGGAGGATCCTGTTGAAAGTTTCTCCCATATACTTCAGATGTGAGGTCATTGAATCATTTTCTTAGAAGCTCTAGTGAGACCGAACCACGCCAACCAAATCAGCCCTGTTGAGCCACCTTCCTAGATCCTCAGCCAAGATGGAAGGAGCTGGCGACCGCTAACGCCTGCTGTCGCAAGGAAAAGCCGGAAAAACTACATTTAATTCTAATTCTGCCCCTAACTACCGGTCATTGCCTTCGCGATCCCTCCTCTGTCGCGGAAGGGACATTGCCGGTGTCTCTATGTCTGAGGTTCTTCTGGTTCCAAAATGAACCCTCCCATGCAGGGTGCTGCATTGTCTAGCTGGTAGGGCCTTAGCAACCTTACCTGGCCCCCACAGCAAGGGCACAGAAGCAGCAATGTCACTGTCTGTGGGGGGACTTGGAGACAGAGGTCCAGGAGAGGTGACAGAGTGCCACACCCCACAGTCTCTCCATGGGGTTGGGCATCCTTCCACATCGGCATCTCCGAGCAGGACAAACCGGTGTGCTGACATTCTGTCCCCCTTCCCCGTCCTCGGGGCACCCAAGAAACCATGATCACTGACTGTCAGAGAGACCAGCACTCTTCGGTGGCTTCTGGGCTATTATTTCTGTGGACTGGATTTAATCTCATCCAGAACAATGAGGTGAGTTGACCTGGCTACAATGTGGCCAAACGCAGGCCCAGGCATCACCCTCCTTGTTTGCCTGGCATACACAGCAGGAACACATTTCTGGAACCACCTTCCTCACTTAAAGGGGTGAGTGTTGTCGTGGTTCCCAAATCAGGAAGTATTTCAGAAAGACAGGTTCCTGGACCCTGCTCCAGGAAATTAAAAATCTATGGGCTCAATGTGGAGCCTAAGAACCTCTATTTGTTTTAGTGAATGTAAAGATAAGAAGTAAGCTAAGACTTCTCTCAGCAAGAGAATGACCTCTAAGACTGCAGTTCACGGCAGGAGGCCCGCCGTGCTGAGCCACACGGCCAGTCAGGGCCCCAGGCCTTACTTAAACCAACAGGCAGGCGTTTCAGGAGACAGGGAAGCAGGATACCGATGAGCAGACCCACTGCTCCTCCTGGCTGGGCGTCCGCTCCCACGTATTCTTGTGCTCTTTAACATCCAATATTTGGGGAAGGAAATTTCAGAAAAAGCGCTGAGGACCTACATGTAGCACAGTATCTGGTACTTAACAGATAGTTTTGGAATAAAGATCTGTGAATCTGGTGGGGAACATGGTCGGGAGAGGTGGGGTTTGGAAAGAGCTCTGTCTTCTGAGAAGGTGTGTCTACATCTCCACACCCTCACCCCGAACAAAGAATATGATCTTATTTCTTTGTTCCCGTAATGACGTTTTGTGCTTCTAGGGGATGGGTAGAAGGTCAAGCAAGCCTTTTTGAAATGCCACACAAACTAAGCGACCACTCCCAGGCCCTGTGAGAAAATACCACCGCCCTTTCCTCCCTGGTCACAGACACATTGTCTTCGGAGAATCTGATGAAAGTCAAGGCCCTCCCTCGGGGGAAACGCACCTATGCATACCCACCTGAACGGCACCCACATTCTGCTGGGGCCTCTGCGTGGCAGGCCGCAGTCACGGAAGACCTGCCCTCGGCACTCCCTGCGAGGCATGGGGTCCTGCTCCCAATCCACCTCAGCACCCAGGGGTGTTGGCTGCCCTGTGGTCAGCCATATGACCCCACAGGATGAGGAGGCAATGGGAGATCATCCACATGGGCCCCCAGGGACGGCTGCACTGGGAAACTCCAGTGTCAGGCCTTCGGGGGATGTGCGGGGTAAGAGGGTGGGAGAGATGGGCAGGCCGAGTCTTGTCTGGTACTGCGATTGCTCTGCCGGGCCGGTCACCTTGTTCCCGTCCCTGAGCCCCAGCCCAGTGGAGCTGAGAATAGGAAATAGCTCAAGTTGGGACCCAGCCCACACTGCCCCACTAGTCCCTTTTTTTCCTCCTGACCTGCTTCCCCTATATCCCTCTCCCACTTAGAGCCCTGGCTCCTGGCTTTAAAACAAAGCAAAGTAACTTTTCCTGTTACTATCGCTAGCTCTGTATTAATCTGCTATTGTTCTGTCTCCAGATTACCCTACCATGTAGGGGTCAGGAGGTATGACGTGGTCTCAGGGCCTTATCTCTTAAGATCTGTTGGGTAGGGGCGCCTGGGTGGTTCAGTGGGTTAAGCCTCTGCCTTCGGCTCAGGTCGTGATCTCAGGGTCCTGGGATCGAGCCCCACATCAGGCTCTCTGCTCAGCAGGGAGCCTGCTTCCTCCTCTCTCTCTGCCTGCCCCTCTGCCTACTTATGATCTCTCTCTCTGTCCAATAAATAAAATAAAATAAAATCTTTAAAAAAAAGATCTGTTGGGTACGTGGGGGACTGTCCACCTCTGCCAGTGAACACATCACACCTGTCAGCGTGTCCAGCACATTCCGGACAGACGTGGATCCTTTCCATCACTGGGTTGAGAGGATCCCGTAGCCAGTGCAGTCCTACAGCCTGTGATGAAGGCATAAGGACCCACTAAGAGTGTCCTTCTCCAAGAGCAGAGGGCAGTCCGTGACTCTGGTGTCATCTGTGTGGGTCCACACAGAATTGAGCAGGTCCCTGTGCTTGGGGAGACTAAGGGGACAGCATCACCTACACTAAGCAGTGCAGGTGACAGGTAGGATAAATGAGAATCCAACCCACTTTCGGAATATTCACTCTGGGGGTGCCTGGGTGGCTCAGTGGGTTAAGCGGCTGACTCTTGATTTCAGCTCAGGTCCTGGAATCGAGCCCCATGTCAGGCTCAGAGTCCACTTCTCTTTCTCTTCCTCTGCTGCTCCCTGGGTTTGCACACAAGTGCTTTCCATCTCTCTCTCTCTCTCTCTCTCTCAAATAAGTTAATTTAAAAAAAAAATTATTTGCACTGGATCGGCTGTATACACAGGATGTCTGTAAGTCAGGAAATAGGACATACCTACTTTTATTTTTTTAGATTTTATTTGACAGAGGGAGAGAGAGCACACAAGCAGAGAGAGCTGCAGGGAGAGGGAGAGGGAGAAGCAGACTCCCCGTGGAGCAGGGACCCGATACGTGGCTCTACCAAGGACCCTGGGATCATGACCTAAGCCAAAGGCAGACACCCAACCGGCTGAGCCACCCAGGCACCCCAGGACATACCTACTTTTAAACAGTATGTTACATTTTCAGATATGCTCAATGTGTTTTTAGGTAAATTACCTCTACATTTAAAGTAATAGATATTATTATTAATTTTTTTAAAAAGAGCTAAAATAAATACACTGTAGTGCCCCCAATCCAGAGACACTGAGAATATATGTACTTATAGCACTTTTTCACATAAATGGTTGGACCCCTTGCTCTAAACTTAGGTATCTGGAGATTGAGAAAATCTTAGTGGATATATTGCTTGAAAATTTATGTAAGTGACACACTGCTTGAATATGTTTGATCTGTGTTCACCAACTTTGCAGATGCCATCTGTATGCACAGAAAAGTCTGGAAGAAAATGTGCCAAAAAGTAGAACAGTTAAGATTCTTTAGAGTGAGAATGTGTAGGACTTTTTCCCTTATTCTGCTTTTCTTTTACTTCTGATTTTCTTCTGCAGAAATTAATTAAGGAAAAGAAATATCCCGTGGCCCTTTCTTGTTTAAAAATATCGACTAATAGGAAGAGAAATTAGTAAAGGTGGACCAGAGCTATAGCCATAAGCGTTCAGAAAGCCTCCCTGTCCTTTGTGGCTTTTGCACGGGGCTCGGGGCAGGGACAGGGTTCAGGTTCTCTGACGTCCGGGACATTTCTCCTCCTCCAAAGGGCAGATGTCCACTTAGTCAGTCAACAAACAGTGGGGCAGCTGTGTGTACGCACACCACCTTGGGGCTGGGAGTAGAGTGGAGAGGAAGCAGCCCCCATCCCTGGGAACCATAGGATATTAGAGAGAAAGGAAGCAGGGCAGCAGAGAGGTCAGCCCCGGGGGCGGGGCAGGTGAGGAGAGGCGGGGTGATGTGAAGGCTGTGAAGGGGCGTGTACTCCCTGGAGAACTCTGTGTCCCCTACCCTTACCCGGGGCCCCGAGGCTAGGGGCACACTGGCTTCCCCGTGCTCCCCCCTCCAGCTCAGCGGGGCAACACACTCAGCCACCCATACCTTGAGGTGAGCAGGGAGGCTCACACGGTGGCGATGGCCAAAGAGCAGCCAGCCGCGGGGCGGGGAGCAGCCTCAGGCAGGTCCCCACCCCTGCCGATGGCTGAGCCCTGCACTGTGGGGGTGCTGGGGAGCCGTCTCCCTGGCCTGTCAGCACTGACCTCATAGCACCCCCGGCAGTGGAGCCCAGTACCTCAGGCTCAAGGGAAGGAAGGGGGTCCGCCATGGCCCGAGTGGGGGTCCGGGCCTGTGTGTACATGTGTGTGCGTGCGCGTGCGTGTTTCAGGGTGTGTAAATACACAAGCTGGATGGCTGTCCCATGCCTGGCTGTTTCCTTGTTCGCCAGCCCTCTCAGACCCAGCAAGCTCTCTTTAATTGGGATGCAAAACACACATTGCGTGCGGAGAACGTCCGGGAGGTGACCAGCCCGGGGCAGGCGCTCCCACCCCTTCTGAAACTGTGATGCCCACCCCACATCCTCTCCCTTTCACGTGTCTGTTATTGTAAGACAAATGCCGCTGAAGTCTACTGTATGTTTAGGGGAATTTCTGACGCCGCCGATGAGACACTGGTGACCCCTTCTCCCGTCCACCAGGGTCTTGCCAGTGTGAAGTCCCGGGGCGGGGCCGCTGTTCACGGTCAGGCAGTGGGCTCGCCAGATAAACTGTGGCGGGGCACTGACTCCTACACTCTTCTTTGCTGCAGCCCCGGCCCCTAAAAGGCAGAAATGCGACCACTGGACCCCGTGCCCCTTGAACACCTACGCCTATCGCCTGCTCAGCGGGGGCGGCAAGGACAAGTTTGCCAAAATCTGCTTCGAAGATGAGCTGTAAGTACGCGTGCTAAAGAAGAAAACAGAGCGGTCCTTCCCCGGGGCTGGCCAGGCACCACATCTGCGCTCAGGAGGGAAGGGCACGGCCCTGATCCTGGGCACAGGCTGGGAGCCCCCACGTGGGACTGAGCATGCCCTCCGCCTTTCCTGGGGGGGACAAGCTGCCCGCCATGGTTGGGCGTGTCCCCGGGTAGAACTTTCCTTTGACTACAGGTGGAACAAATATGTTGTGCTTCTCTTTGAACGGGCGGCAGGTCCTTCCAAGTCAGGGAAACAAAATTCATCAGACGCGGTTTTGCTCACATTTTATTTTATGAGCCTCACGGTGGGATTAAAGCAGGCACTTTCTCTTTGCTGCCCGCCGCTCCAGGTCTGAGGAGCTGCCTGACCCACGATAGCCTAAGTAAATCCCGCCACCTGGAACTGGCACGGCCTGGTGTTTGCACCGGCTTGGGCAGTCACCAATCACCACTGACCGGACGCTGAAACAACAGACATTTATTCTCTCGGTCTGGAGGCTAGCCGCCCAAGGTCAGGGTTGGGTGCGGTTGGTGCCCTCTGAGGGCCGTGAGCTTGTGAAGGGCCCTGTTCTCCCTGTGTGCTCCCATGGTCTTCCCTCAGTGCATGTCTGGGTCCCAGTTCCCCTCGCTGCCCATCCTCCTCTGCCACTCTTACTTCGTTGGTCTCTGCGCTGACCTTGTCCTCCTAAAGAGCATGTGGCACACTGGGGCACGAGCCGCTTCGGGCTCGGCTTCCCCTCCTTGCATGGCCCCAGCACATCCCCAGTCCATAGTGGGAGGGAAAGGGAAGCCTGGCTCCCCTCTTTGGGTCCGTCGCTTACCAAAGGCTTCCTTCACTCAGCCAGGGAGCTTCTCAATAGATGTTTCTCCACAAGAACCCCCGGGTGGGGCACTCAGTGGGCCAGTTATGATGAGAAACATGGCCCTTGTGCTCCGGGGGCTTGCCGCACAGTTCAGGGTTCCCCAGCTCATGACAGACCAGCGAATGGGATTGCCAGTGAGGTCTGTGGATGGAACGAGGCGGGATGTGACTTGAAAATGAGCAGGGTCCCATGATAAAGAAGTGAGGAGACCTGGGAGTGGGCGGGGACCGTGGGATGGGGACGCTCATCCCAAATCATGTCACCAGAAGGGGAGTTGTTCCGAGTCAGACTCCAGAACCTGGGCTTTCCACCACTCCACAGTGCCTGAAGCCTTCTCTTGATCATTCAGAGCAAGAGCACCATGCTTCCCTAGTGTAGACCAGACACATAGACACCAGCTGCGTGGGACTTCCTGGGAGATGGGCCATCTGTCATCTCCCCCGCCCCCCACCACAGTGCAGAAAAGGAAACGGCTTCACAGGCAGATTCAGTAACTCGCCCCTCATCACCCAGCTAGTTAGCGGCCAGGCCTAGATTCCGCCCTGGAGTCCATGTAGGTACTGGGTAGACTGACTTGAGTCAGGCTGTCTAATGGAGCAGCTAACATACAAACACGGGGGACCCGAGTGCCGCTTGCCTACTTTCAAACAGTGTCCCCGATGGTCTTCAGAACGCAGTGTGGCCTAAAGTGGGGTAGCCTCAAAAAAGCAGGTAAAAAGGAACAGAGGAGTGAACACGGACAGAGACCCAAGGAGAGCCTCTCGCTTGGCTCAGCGTGAATTTTCGTTGTCATCAACTCCCGGAACAAGGAAGTGCCATGTCGTGGCGATTCATCATCTTCTAAAGAAAAGATGTGTTTATGTAGAAAGACAAGCAGGTTCCTGCTGCTCGTTTCCTTTGTACAACCAGCCCTCCCTGGGGACAGCCACCTCCACCTCCTTCCTTCCCCATCCCCACGCAGCAGGCTCAGGCACACGCCTCTTGGTGTCCCCGCGTCAGGCGTTATCTGGGGACCGGCCGCTGCGCGGCTGAGCAGTCTTTGGCCATTGGCTCTCCCGTCGTCCTCCTCGCCGTGGTCCTGACTCGGTTATTGTGTGGCCTGCGCCATTGTAGTTTGATCACAATCCAGCATCTGCATAAAAGTAAGGCCACCAGAAGAAAATCCAAAGGGCTTTACTTGATATGAATGTGTCATTGAGTGAGGAACAGTGGGAGGACAATGGCCAGAAAGTCCAGACAGGAGTCACAGCTCCGTGTAGGAAGCCGGAGTAAGTGAGTTCTTTCTAGTGTCGTTTGTTGCCAGAGACTCACATCCATTACGTGCTCTTACCTGAAAAGTCACACTGACATGGGGAAAGCTTCCCTTTGAAGGTCAGAGTCAGCATTTCAGCCGTGACCGTGAGCGTTTGGTCTGCTGACACACCCAAACGGTGTCCCCCAGGTTAGTTGGCTTTTTTTTTTTTTTTTAAGATTTTATTTATTTATTTGACAGAGAGAGATCACAGGTAGGCAGACAGAGAGGGGAGGAAGCAGGCTCCCTGCAGAGCAGAGAGCCAGATGCGGGGCTCAATCCCAGGACCCTGAGATTGTGACCTGAGCCGAAGGCAGAGGCTTTAACCCACTGAGCCACCCAGGTGCCCCCCCCCTTTTTTTTTTTTAGCCTCGCTAAGCGAAGGTCCTCCGTAGCGGAGGCATGTTGTGTGCGTGACTATTGTGGACCCTTGTCTTTTTTTCGTTGTTGCTTGCTTGGCTTTCCATGTACGTATATCAGTGTCATCCCTAAGCATTCCTCTGGTGAAAATAAATCTGATCTCACATCAGATACTCATCAGGTTCATCTTCTGGAGCCTTCGGACCCACTCGGGTGGGTCTTGCTCTCAGGGCACCTGGCAGCTGCTGCCTGGTTTCCTATCCACTGCCATCCTGGGATGACCTAGTACCCCTCTCTGGAGTCGGAGCTCCGCTTTCTAGGATACAGCACCTTCCAATTTCCTAGACTCCTCCTCTGTTTTGCTGAAGACAGGGTGACCAGACATCACCTGGGTGGGGCCCCAATCGGATAAGGAGGGTGACTGGCCATCAGAGGGAGGGGGATCTGGAGAAACTGAGTTGCCAGGAATCTTCTAAAACTGGACACTGCGGTCCTGGTGCCCTGAGAGCAAGCAAGCTGGACACTGCGGAGGTGAACACAGAAGTCCAAAAGTCAGGCCTCATTAAAGAAGGAGCTCAGGCGAGTCCAGAGGGAGTCTGGTGAAGGAGAGAATCTGTGTAGGCACAAAGGGACCCCAGGCAGGTCTGTTCCTGGAAGACCCAAGCTCTCCTGCTGGCCAGCATGGGCTCCAGATGCTCCTGCGGCCTTGCCAAACCCTCCCAAGACTGCATGGCAACCTGAAGCACGTCCAGCCGGGCTTGGTCCCCTATCCTTTGCTCAGGGTCAGACTTGTACTGTGGCCTGACAGCTCTCCGTGCTTAACCCAGCCCCTTCCCCACCTCCTCTTGTAGGCATTTCCCTATACAAATTCTTGTGTGTTCTATCCGGTTCTGATATTTGTCCCTCGGAGGACTCAGATTAGCACAGCAAGAATGACTGTTTCCCCCTAGTCAGTCCAGAACAGCACACAGACAGACACTCGGATCTCTGACATTCTGAGAGATGAAAATAGAAGTCTCAGATCAGATTTTTAACTTCATTGTTCTTGTTAAGAGTGAATTGAGGACCTTTTATGCTAAGAGCCTTTGTATTTATTTTCTATAAACTATGTGTTTATACCTCTTGCCCATTTTCACCTCTTTCACTGGCCTTTTTTTGTCTATGTACAAGATTCTTTATATATTAAAGTAATTAGGCTTTTTTGTGTGTTGTAAAAATCTTCTCCATGTTTTATCTTTTCACTTAGTAAAATGGTATTTTTAAATATGCTTGTGCTCTAGTTAATATAAGATCTTTAACAAAGCAAAAAAAAAATACAAACTTCATAGTGAAAGCAAAAATTTTAAATTTTAAAAAAGCAACAAAACCAGAAAGCAACCCAAGTATGATGGTATCACAGAGAACAAATGTATCTCACGTAACAGTAAGCGGTCTGAAGGTCACCAGTGAAGGAGAGCAACTCTTAGATCATAGCACATCAACTCCCAATAATGCTACAGGCAAGAAACACATGCATACCGGAGAACTGAGGTCATGGGGCAACCCAATGCCCTGAAAATGGGAGAGACGGGTGAATTCACAGAACCGCACCTCAGCTAGAGCCAGTGCCAGACAAGGATCCTGCAGGGGCAATTGACTAGTTGCTGGAGACTGAATTTGGACTGTTTTGAGAGATTAAAACTCCTAGAGAAGCCCCTACACTCTCCTGAGTTTTTCGGCCAGGAAGCCCGCCTGGCTCAGAGCGAAGATCAAAGAAAAATCCCCTCATGCTTTTGTCAGGGGAAGGGAGAGTAGCTATTCTGAAACACACCCACAGTGTTCTCTTCTCCTTAACAATGGTCTATCTGCAAGGGAAATTGTTTTGCCAGAGTCTAACCAATGTGAGTTTTACCAGGTACTAACTGCCCTGTTGGAGGAAAATACCCAGCATCATTCTTTCTCACCTTTCTGGATCACCTAAGGAGTGAAAGAAAAAAAGTATGGCCACCTGTGAAGGCCACCACCTCGTGACACAGGCTCACCAAAAGACTGAGACCCACTCTTAGGACTGGAGAACATTTCCCCTTCCCCACAACTTACCACCACATAAATAAGCTCCTTTAAAATAACAGGCTCAAAAGAACCACAAGGCTAAACCCAAAAAAAGAGTCTCGAAAAATAAATAAATAAAAGATAAAAAGAGGGGCGCCTGGGTGGCTCAGTGGGTTAAGCCTCTGCCTTCGGCTCAGGTCATGATCTCAGGGCCCTGGGATCGAGCCCCACATCGGGCTCTCTGCTCAGCAAGGAGATTGGTTCCTCCTCTCTCTCTCTGCCTGCCACTCTGCCTACTTGTGATCTCTCTCTCTGTGTCAAATTAAAAAAAAAAAAATGATAAAAAGAGTCTCTTGGGATACCCAAGACATAAGGGAGAAGTTTTAGTCTTTGATACCTACAGCCACAGCATATAACAAATACAGCTCACTC